AGAGAGAGAAACTCCAGAAGTTCTCTCATTCAGAAAACTGAGAGATAAGGAAGAACTCACAGAGCAGATGGAAAAAGTGGGAGCCAGAAAAACAGAAGGAAAACCAGAAGAATTTAGTGTCCTAGAAGACAAGGAAAATGCTTTGAGAAGGGAGGGGTAAGAATTTGTGTCAGGTGATAGTAATAGGAAGGAACTTAAGACGGTATGGGTTCTGATTTATGCCACTGAATGGATATGAAAGTGGAAATCTGGATTTTCCTTCCTGATTGCTTTGATTTTCTCAGTGTTGTGGAAAGTGAAGAACAGGAAAGAAGGCTAAGAAGTTTAAAAGTAAAGTATAGACTAGTTAGGTAGCTGAAGAGAAAGAACAAACAGACTTGGAAATTATGATTTGAACTGCAGGTGGCATTATGGGCTGACTTGAAGTTAGTGATCATCAAGTGAGCTGAGTCACTGTAGCTATGTTGAGGCACATGAATGTAAGCTGGATTTAACCAAAGTGCAATGCAGAATGTGAGTATGAATATGCATAAAGAGTGGTATAAATGAAGAATTTATGCTGGGCAGAGGTGAGGGCATAAGGTGAATGAGAGACACTGAAACTAGGACTAAAAGTCCCAGCAGCAGAGAAGAATTTCTGGAACTAGGGTTCTGAAGAGAGTGAGCTGAAACAGAGAAAGGAGGGTTGGAGAGTGGGAGGTTGAAACAGAAATTATAGAAGGTTTACAGCTACCACACTGCGAGGCCAGCTAGGAGAACCTTCTACTCTCTCATCCAGATCATTAAAGTTACAGAGAATCTGAAATAGTTGGTGGTGAAGACTCAGTTTGCTGAGAGCTGAACTTTCAAAGAATGAGCAACAGTTGCTTCCAGGAGAAAATAATGGATAATTCAAAAGTTTTTGTGGAAGAAGAACAACCTGGTGTTAGGTATCTCTTCCATTACCCGGCTGTTGGTCTTATCTCCCTCCATCTTGATTAGTTCAGCTTCCTGCCCATAGCTTTACCTCTACTTTTTCTAATTATCTTCTGTGTAGCTTGCCTAGTAAATCCTATGCTTCCTAAAGAGACAGTCTCTCAGTGTCCTGCCTAGCACACTGTATCTTCTAAATCTATGCCAGCGAGATGCCCACATGAATAAATGAATGAATAGAATCATGTACTCATGGATATTTTATGCTGGGTCTTCACATCTGAATGATACTTGATTTTACAGGAAGAACATTAAAAACACCCCCTAGGTAACGCATGGTCTTCGTTAATGATATGACGATCACAGGCAAACTCTGCAGAGTTTGATGATTTGTGAAAGGGCATATCTCCCTATCTTCAGTTTGGTACATGTTTTCTATTGGTTATAACATGATTGGTCTAAAATTTTATTCTCATTTAAATTTCAATGTTTCTTCAACAAAATTTCCATAATTATCTCTGCTTCACTGCCACAAAACGTTGCATTTTAAAAACATTTTAATAACATTGACAGAATAGGTATAAGACTGAACATAATGCAGGTAATTTATTTCTCTTGTTATATTTCTGACTGGAAGCCACCTTTTCATGACTGTTGGGGCACCTGTGTCAGGGTTAACATCATTCATATATATATATATATATATATTTATTTTGTACCAGGGATCGAACTCCGGTCCTTGCGCTTGTGCAGCAGGCAGCGAAACCAATGAGCTAAATCCCCGGCCCATTCTATATATATTTTACATGTGTGGGCTGGTCATTTCCAAGTGATTTTAGTTAAATAGCTAATGAATAAATAATACACATTTTAAAAATATATGCTTGTGCCAGCTGACCTTAATAACAGCACTGGTAGATACCAATACTATTTAGGAGTGAGAGATGTGGAAGAAAATATAAGAAATGTACTTTGTCTAAATTTGTATTGTATTTAAGGATCTATGAGTTCTTGCATATTCCATTAAATAGCTCTGGGTGGTTAATACCAACTTGTGTTTCATGATATTTTCTGATAACTCAAAGTAAGACTAGATAATGAGGATCTACATAGTAATAAAGCTTTTAAAAACTACTCTTGATAATGACAACTGCCAACAAACCAGCTTACCATGTGGTTTATTTATATGGAAAAGGTTTTTTCTTAAGTTTGAGCATATTAATTAAATGAGGCAAAATTGCGAGATATATTATACCATAAAGAACAACATGCTTGTTTAATGGTTCTTATAGGTGGTCAATCTTAACTTATATTTTCCATATCAACTCTACTAATCCCAAACGTCAAGTAATTAACCAACACTAATGTTAAGTATTTTGAGAAGTACTGCCTAAGAGATAAAGATTCAATACGCTAAAAGATTCCTCTTCTATTGCCACTTTAAAAGAAAATTTTATAAGTTTTATACTTATAAAAATCTAAACTAACAGAATGTAAGAAATAGTCTAATTTATATATGGCATTCACACACACACACACACACACAAGTTTTTATCTGTAGTAAGAGTATCAGGAAAAAAATATTGGAAGAACCTGGAGGTATACATTCAACACACCTTAATTCATGTAAGTGTTCATTTTAATAATTTTAAAATGGTTTGATATGTATTTCTTATTCCTAGCACAGACATACTAAGCAAGGAGAAAATGTTTGACTGGTGATTTACCTTTAGGAATAAAAGAGATGACCAAACAGGGATTCCCAGAGTCTTTGGCCCCCACTGTACCCACCTTAGTCCTTGCCAATAGGGGAGCACCCCGTTCCAACAGGAGCTCCACCACCTGGTCATGCCCACTTCGCGCAGCACAGTGAAGTGGTGTCAACCCATCCTGCCAAAAGAATGACAGCATTTGGCTTCAGTTCACGTTGAGTTTTGTTTTTAAACCAAGACTGCAAACATTGGGACCTCAAAGAGTGGGTTTGTGGGAGAGAGGAGGGTGGGGGGAAGAAGACGTCAAAGTGGTTAGGATGTGGTAGGTACGTGTGCCAGGTCCTAAGATGAATACACTGTGTGTCGCACACATATGCCGCTTTTTGTAAAAAGTGGCTTTCCTAAATTTGATCCTGATGATCCTATAGATCAGTAATAGAATTGCAACCATATAAATGACAAGTGAAAATGAAAACAAACAGAAAGAAATTCTGACAGAAAAATGGACAAAACAGAAGCAAAGAAAGAAAGAGATTCCGCGGGTGGAGTTTATCGATCGGAGTGAAACTGAGTTCTGCTAGTTTGCATGGAAGAAGATGGAAAAGCAGGCCATTTGCTGAAATTTTTAAAAGCCCTACTTATTTGGAACCAAAGCCACGAATTACGTTAAGTTCTACTGCTTTCAGTTTGTAATCAAACTATTAGGTTCTGCTCCTAACAGAACCTTTATCTAAAAATCTTTTTTAGTCTAACTTACTCACATACATTATCTCTTAAACTATCACTACTTTCATAAATTCTCCTAAAATATGCCACAATGCTTGCAAAAAAAGGACAAGTTATGTTTTTCAGATTCTATAAGGATTACTAACATATATTTCCTTTTTTTGTTGTTTTGGTTTTTGAGATGGGGTCTTGCTATGTAATTCAGGCTGGCCTTGAACTCACTATGTAGTCCAGGCTGGAGGATTTCCAGCACACATTTCAACATTTAGAAATCATGTAATTATTTTCCAAAGATAAAGTTTATCACTGATAAATAAAATTAAACTGTCCAATAAAATACAGTACTGCTGTATGTTATGTTACTTATATTTTAGTACTTTAGGGTCGTTTCTGATTCTAGATCAATCCCCAAATACCCTCTGTCTTCCTTATTTTATTTTCCTTAAGGTTGGCATGGCCAAAAAGCAGAGTTGGTAGGAAATATGAGGAAAAATTATTGCAAAATAACAATGAGCATGAAGAGAGTAATGAAGCCTTGAAAATGTAAGTGAACCTAGTGATTTAAGGTCAAGATTGTCTCAGTGAAAAAGGTGGAAAGGGTAGGCAGCAAGCAGAGAAAACAAAGTACAGTGAGCAGTTAAGATTTTGGAAGCTTCTGACTTAACTGAGAGCTCTAGCCCATCTTTTGTGTTTCTGCTTTACATTTTCCTCCTAACAAAAAGAATTCCTCAAAGCTATAATATTCTTTCTGGCACAATATTCAGGCTCTCTGTGCTAGACATCTTGCATTTCCCTTGCAGATCCAGGCTCCGGCCTCTTCCACTAAAGCTCTGCATCCCGACAGGTTGTATCACTGGGCTTCTGTGCCCTCTGGCTTCTGGTTGGGTTTGGCCAACAGGAAAGGCAGCAAGGCCTAGAAGGGACCCTTGGAGGGCTCGCCCTAATCTGGTGGCACATCTTTACCAAAAGTTACCAAAGCAGCCTTTCTGTGTGATTCTTGCAAGTTTGGGGGACCTCTTCTGCTTCTCTCCTTTCCTGCCTAGGGTTGGTATTCAGCCCTGCGGTTATAAGCTCAAGGGATATGCACTCTTTTTTTGTACCTTTGCTACAGTCTCCCCACAATATTATAACAGACCCTTTAACAAAGCCTAATAAAATAATCAAATTTGAGTGTGCCATCTGTTTTTGCCTAAGACCTTGTCTGATAATGGCTCTTTGCTTTGTTAAATCTATTTAGCAAATGTGAAGTTATTTAATTACTAAATTGCAGTTTAAGATATCTGAGAATTAGCATAAGACTGCCTTTCTAGAAAAAAAGTATTTAGCTACTATGGTTGGGATGCCATAATACTCTTAAAAATTTGTTAGACAGCAATCTAAAAAGCAAAATGCACTGGCAAAAATGGTTAAAATAATTATGCTTTCATACCTTGATAGTAGCACCCAGGAGGAACTACAGAGCAGTTGTTGCTGTGTAAGTTATATAACAATTCGATGTAGCATGGTTTCTCAAACACACTCTTAGTGGGGACTCCATTGCGATCTAGTCTGGAAAACCCATGGAGGATGGCAGCACCCCAGACAAATGGTTCAGAGTGTGGGGTCACAGGCCCTGGGGACATCACAGATCAGGGCCACGAGCCACTCTCTTCCAGACTGCTTCACACTATATAAAACCGGGCGTGATTTTTCTTGCTCTGCTTAACTTACAGCTTTATACGAAAGATGAGGGAGGGGATGCTGCCTTACATCACTTTTAGAAAAGGTAGAACATCATTTTCTATGAATTACTTGAAACATTCATTGTGTGATCACATTGAAACCTCCAAAGTACTTTTCTAGAGAACATTTAATATACATACAGGAATGACAAGGATCAGATTACTTCAAATCCTACATTTAATGATGCAATTGCATCTGCTCTTTTGAAAGATATGTAAATGATGACATCAAACTCAAATCTGACTAGAATTGGAATCTTCTCTACAAAGTACAAAATCAAGTTAATGCTAAAAAATTACTGTTCAGGTTTTGTATTGCAGGACCTTTGAATTCTTAACCCTGTGCTTCAAGATTACTTCCCCCTCCAGAGCCCCATTCCTTGTGTTCCCTTTTTTTCATTACTAGAATCAGTTTACTCACCCAGACACAATAGTCTGGGTAATTCTAAAAAGTGACAACCAATCAACATTAGAGGAACATCATTTATCTAGCTGGTAACCAAAACACTAGTTTTTTACAACCATTTCTTTCCTTATATTTTCCTTTCCTCTTCTTTGTTTATGGTGCTCTTCTAAGAAATAGATTCTAAAGTTCTGTTATTAGCATAAAAATGCTAACTTAGCTATGTGTCCTAGGTCATGTTATTTAACTATGGGGAAATTCATTTTTCCTTTTGATAGTCTCACTTCTCAAATGAAGACATCCATATTTCTCAATAAGAAAATAACATACATATTAAGTCATTCAGAAGATGAAATGAGATATCTGTAGAATACTTAGCAGGGTACACAAAACAGCATACGTATTTGACAACTGGTAGCTATTTATTGTTATTACTTTAATTATTAGATGTAATAACAAGCAGCAAGGATGATCTCTTTTACTGGCATCTTGTTTTTGTTCATCATCCTTTAATGTTTTTGTATATTTTTATTGTTTGCATTGAATATACATTTCAATATTTTAAACATAATCCTCCTATGAAGTGTCTGAACATTTAAATAATGTTTAAAAGCAAAAAAGAATAATGCCCTTAATAAAGCCCAAGTTAATACTTTTATTTTAACTAGCTACAAAATTTATGCTTTAACATTAAAATGAGGTTTTTAGATATGAGCAAAGGGTTCTGAGTAAAATGTGTCAGAATTTCAGATTAGACTCTCATCAGTGAGGAGAGCATCAAGAGGTAAACTGCCTCAATGTTTATCAAAAATTTATGAAAGGCAGGGAGAAACCGTGCATCAGATTTTTTAAATTGCACCAAAGCCTCTATAGATCTTGCTTTTCTCTAGATAATGATAATCTCATAACTGAGAAAACAATAAGAAGAGTAAGGCAAAATTCTTGATCAGATATTCTAAACTCAGAGTACTGTACTTGTGCTTCACTTGACTGCTAGAGGAAATTGAAAACTCTGGCAAGACAAGCAAATAATAATATTTATTTTTTAAAATTCTATATATAGAAGCTCTACTATATTATCCAAAATAAGGTCAAAACACATTTAACATTTTTCTATTTTTAAATATATTTTCAAGAGACAAAAGAAAAAGCAAACCATAGCTCATTAGTAATCACTATTATTCCAGAATTATTCTCCTAATGCCAGACCATGGTTCTTGATTTCAGTATTTACCTCCTACTTGATTTTGCCTTTGGTATAAGGGATATAGCTCTATTAGCTATAGCCAGAATGGAAAGAATCTGACAATGCTTTTAAAATGCTACTGCTACAAGATAAGGGAGTACTTTCCCTCATGGGGGGAAATGCTCAACACCTTTCAGTACTGTACCTCATCCTGGCATGTACTGTACAGTTCGCTCAGACAAACTACAGAGAGCTGGTTCTGTGCCTCTCTTCCCAAGTCTGCATTTCCTGATACCATGTTGGTGGCTCTAAACTGATCATAGTGATATTTAGAATAGATTGTCCATAGTGGAAATATTTATACCATGGAGACTGTGAAAGGCAAAAGCTACAAATCAAGGCTTTTTGGTTCTGTCTTGTTTTTTGGAAAAATCCATTAATAAATTTTACCAGCACACTGCCAACCTAATCCCTTGGGGACTGGTGATTTACGTTTCTGTGATCGCAGAAACCTAGCCTGGCTTGTTCACTATTGTATGCCTAGTTTCATGCTCCAAATAGAAACTCAATAACTATCTGCTAAAACAGTGAAAGACCACAATGTCTCCACAATGTACACTATTAGAAAATCTATATTTTCTTTTTAAATCCTTGAATGAAATTCAATTTATTTGCTGTATCTAGGGCTTCACTGGATGAAATATGGTCCAAATACTCCCTTTCCAGGGCTTATAGTTCATTGTTAACTTGCCCAAGGACAATTAAGTAACTAGCAGAACTACCATAAGAATCTATTTCTTTTCATTTCTTAGGAGTCTTTTGGTGAAAACACACTACCTATTTAGAGTTGGATTTTTTAATTGAATATGCAATGTATATAAACTAGGGAATTTTTTAAAGAACTAAGGAAATATTGTGATGATCAGTAACAACCTAAGTAATGAATGAAATACTTCAGATAAGCATAATGAAAGCAATATGAATTCTTAAGACACTAGCCAAGATAAAAAAAATTAAAACTTCTTGAATTTATAAAGTGCTGTCTTTCCACTGGGAATCTCAACTACTAGAGACTCTTCATAAAAACAAAAAGACTTGATGAAGGGAATATGTTAGTAATGTAACATTATGTTACTAATGATGACAGTAATATAGTCCTGAGCAGAAACTCTTTCCTTTAAATTAAAGGAATAAATAAGGAAAGTATGAAGCATTGTGTGTATTGTTCCAAATTCTGCTTACCCATAGCACAGCGAGGGAAGGGGCAAAACCACATAAAACTCTGACACAGAGACACTAGACACTGCAACAAAGATCTTGATAGATAAAGGAAACCACTCCAGAACTCCCACATGATAAGACATGACCACTCTGGACCAATGTCTTAGAAAAATGAGATTTAAAATGCAATCTGCAGTGAGGTCATCAAATACCAGAATTTATAGTCTGGGACTGGTGTAGATCCTAGATGCTTCAAGATGAGAAGGTTTAGTAAATACAGCAGCTAGCCTCGAGATGTGTAAGGGGAATAGACTTGGTCCTCATTACTTGAACTATGAGAACATGAAATACCAGAATTAAATAAAGAGAAAATATTACAAGGAGCACCTTCTAACATCTTCCATGGATTTTTTTATGCCACATATTCCAACATTTTCATATTACAAGAATGTGTAAAATTTTGCCGAAGCCTCTGATTAAGTAAATCTCTACAGACTTGACATTGAAATATTAGCTGTATGTTAAAGCAAGTAATGCATATATAATGTAAAAATATTTTAAAATTATGAGTAGCAAAATAACTTGCCCACTGCATTTTTTAAAGGCAAGTAATAGAGCTAAGAGTTAATTTTCACAGAACCTGATTAGCTTAAATTCAGAGAAGGTAAGTAACTTGTTAATACTATGCAGCTTAGTAAATGATAGAAGTAGGATTTGAAATCAGGCAGCTTTGCCTTTAGAATCTTCACTTTTAATAAGTGTACTCTACTGCCTATCATATGGGAATATATGAAAACACAGAATAATTATTTAAGAAATTTGAAATTAACAAAGAAAACCATCTCTACCAAGATGACATAAGTGAAGGTACAATATATCAAGTGTAAACCCCCTAGGAAAAATGTCTTAGGAATCAAATAGGAGTAAAAGATTTTTGCCATGTATTTTATGTAAAATCCACATTCTCATAGCCTAATATAAGCTGATAAACTTGGGTTTTTGGTATTTACAACAAAACAAAAGACAGAAGTGTAAGTCCAATCTTTGATTTTTGTTCCCAGAAAACCAATAAGATAAAACTTGAAAGACTATCACAGTGCAGGGCTCACATTCTGTTTCTCTGGACATTTATGAACAAGCACTAATTTCACTTTATGATATGAAACTTTTAAATACTGTATGAGATTTAAATCAAAAACAAGAAAGCCATGTCCTGGAAAACACGCTGCCTGTATTTATTGGCTAGTGTTTTAAAGGTGCCTGCCAAGAGGATGTGGAGTAATCCGAAGGTAGGAAACTGAAAGAGCAGAGACACTCACCCTGGTCTTGGCATCAATCTGACCACCCCGATCCAGTAAGAGCTTCACCATGTTTGTGTTGCCCCTTTTCGAAGCCACATGCAGAGGAGTGATTCCATTCTACATGAGGAGGAAAGACCAAAAAGAGCAAGTTGGACATGACAGGGCAGGGTGGCAAGACTTTGGTTTAAAGGGCACAAAAGCGGTTGTGATCCACATTGTAATTTGACCCACAGTTTCTACACTTTTTATTTTTAAGGGACAAAGAAGTACACAAACCACAATGCACTTTTGTTAGAGAATAAAAGATGGACTGAAACTTCCTAAGTTAGTCAGTAACTACTATATATGTATTGAATATACACTTTACAGTCAAGGGACAAAGGAAGAACTGCATAATAGAAAACAAAACCTCAAATTCTACCTACCACAGATCCCTAACACAGTCATCCTTTTTATAATATCCATGCACTTAAAGTCTTTGAGACTCAATGTTTTCTGTGCTTAAAAATAGGTTACAAATATACATAGCAGTACCAAATGGAACAATGGAAAATCTTGAGAAAAGTTCAGTAAGAAAAACAACTTGAAAATAGCCCAACATAGTTTTAGGGCAGAAGACATCTGAGGACAAAAACACTACACATAGTAATGATATTTATTTATTTTGTGACCATCCTGTGTCACCATTACAGCAAGAATATGCTCTGAATTTTTGTGTCATAACTTCTGAATATTCAAATATTGCATTAACTGACTCAAACACAGTTATGTATATGAATTTTATAACCACAATGTAAATGAATTCTTTCCAATAAAAGCAACCACTAACATATCACTCCATGTGATGTCTTTTTATGTATTTTAGCAAGATTCTTTAAATGAGTAAACTCTCAAGTCATTAAACAAAAAAATTTCCTGTCAAATTATATGCCCTCTTTACCATTATAAGTTATAATATCTATATATTTGTGCTTCATGTTTTAAAACTGTTTATACATTGTTTATTGACTTGAAACTGATCTCATGATTTATGGCACATAACTGCTCAAACTGATGCCAAAATTAACAGCCTTTTGACCTATTGCAAAGAATTTGTGTGCGTGTAATCTTACGACATTCTTATTTTTTTTCTTCTTGGGTCATGAAAACTTCCTATGATTTGCAGAAAAATACATGGAAAAATCTAACATCTTTAGTAAGATCCAAGAAAGGGGGAAAATAAAACCTTTAAGAAAGTTGTTGGCGTTCATTTTTTTTTTTTTTTTTTGCCTTTCATTTTTACTTTCTTAGAACCCTCCTTCCTGCTGTCTGAGATGAGAAACTGCTGTAATCCATACCCTGGCTGTGAAGTCCACAGCAGCTCCCCGGTTGAGGAGAAGGGTAGCCACGTTGACGTTTCCGTAGTGCGCAGCTATGTGCAAAGGGGTGAAGCCACTCTACAGGAGCAAGGAGATGACAGTTAACATGGCGTTGCATCTCTGCAGCCGCTGGATTAATGAAGAAAATCACATAGCCACTGTCTACTTGATATGACTGCAACACAATTCCGATCATAAATGCTTGAATGAGACTCTTTACATCTCAGTGTTATAAGGTGGTAAATAGTTACATAAAGAGGTTTTTAAAAATCCTAAATATATTGGCAACATTATTTTTCATTACCATAACTCTTCATCTATTTGCGACTTGTTTGTACAAAATCATGTTTCTTGAGTTGGTTTAGCATATGGGAGAAAAAGAAAATATAACTAAAAAACATAAAGCTTCAGCACAGTATTAACATAATCATGAATAAAAAAATATTTTTTCAGAGAAAGATTCAAAACCAGTGTTTATGGTCTTCTTTTTAAAAAAGAGTACTGGTTGACATTTTATTTTTGGAACTGAAAATATGGTGAAAAATTCTTACAAAGGATGCACAGTTAATTTCACATCCTACACTACCATGATGTTCCTATCCCCTTTTACAGCTGCTTAGTCATGCTATGTTTTATAATGAAAAAAGAATTTAAAAACAAAAATTAAAAAATACATTTGGTGTCAATATGAATATGAAATAAAGAAAAAAGTTCAGCTTAATCTAATTTTGAATGTTAAATAATTTTATCAATGAAATTAAAGGTGACTAAATCAAACAGTTTAAATTGATTATAGGGGCTTTAAAAAACTGTTTACTCTCAAAATTTAAAACAGAAGTCTGAAAATCTTAAATGAAAAGTGTCCATTTCTTTCTCTTAAAACCAAAGAAATTTTTGTTATTTTCACAATAGATGTGACACATCCATCAATTCATATGTTATTAAAGTGTGAAAAAGATGTGATAATTTTCCTCTATAATTTTCACTGTTTAGTAAGAGGATGGGAAAAGTAGAGGGCCTTAATTGGCTATCAAATCCTTCGTTTAGGGTTATTTTCTATTCTTTTTCGCAAGAGATGAGCTTCAATGTGTAGCATATGTTTTAAAGAAATATTTTTAAACTATAATCACTGTTCTTCTATTTATTTGATATATAGCTAAATAAGAACTTAGGTGATGGAAATTTTTCTGTGCTATGAGCAACATTAGCTGTAAATAATTTCTGACTGTAAGAAAGCCAGACACAAAATAAAAATAGTAACTATCACTCCAATTCCCGCAACTGTGGTCAAGATATTTTTAATTTGCCATCTAGGGGATGCTAAATATTTGTGTCAAAATAGAGACACAAATCAGTCACAAGCTGCTATTATTTTATAAAATGTCAAATGTGTATTCTTTAGGACACAATTGACTGAATCTTTTCATTTTTATCTTACTATTTCCTGTCACTCGGATATATACTGAGTGAGGGTATATCTTTAAGCCAGATACAGCTTTATTTCAGAAAAAAAAACATCGATTATTGGTGAATCATTTCCAAATTATTCAAGTATAATGATGTTATTTTTCCCATTTTCAAAAACTAACTGATTGGTCATGCCTCAGGTTGTGAAACTAACACTTGGCTGGCGTAAGTCCACTCTGACAATGCTTCCATTTTCTTATTTGCAAAAACAAACTAATTTATTATCTGACACATCTTTATGGATCATCCATGATCATGCCTGAGGCTGTGATTCAGTAGGCTGGCCTGGGCTGGGGATTCAGCCCAGTGGGGCCACCACCTGCCTCGCAAGTGCAAGATCCTGAGTTCAATCCTCAGTAGCAAAAAACAAAAACAAACAAAAAACAGTAGGCTGACCAAACCCTAAGGAGTCTTCCTTGATTAACAGCGAGGCTGGAGGCAGAGTGTACCCTTCCCCAGAATCACAGATGAAGGTTTTCCATTGATACTCTATTGTCTTCAGACAAATATAACTCCACCTGAATCCATCCATATCTCAGCTTAAAAGCACAAAGCTTACAGCCAATATTGCACTCAAAAATGTATCATAAACAATAAGCAAAGAGCATCCAAAGATGAAAGGTATTAAAACCAGTAATGAAGATCAATTTATATGGTCCCAGTGTTCCTTGAACAATTTCACCAAACTGTTAAGTTGTGACTTTCTAGGTTCCCTGTATAGATATGAAACTGGTGATATAGACAATTCTAATATATTGCCAACTCAGTAGTGTTCAAGAAGATAATAATTATAGAAATACATCACTCTCAGTGAATACTAAGTGTGAATGCTCAAAGCTCCACAGCCTCAAGTCCACATGGCTGTGACCAAAGGAAGCACCCCTCACAGTGCCTGATGTGGTGACGAACACCTGTAACCCAGCACCCTGGGAGGCTGAGGCATGAGGACAGCAAATTCCAGCCCAGTCTGGGCAACTTAGTGTCTTACAGTGACCCGGTCTCAAAAATACATAAAATAAAATAATGATATAAAAGAGAATGGCTGGCATGTAGCTTAGTGCAAAGGCTCTTGTTTCAATCCACAATACTGCAAAAAAATAAATAAATCCTTCATTGAAGCAAAAATCAATCTACATGACAATCACTTCCCTTGTTGCATAGATTAGTTTTCATAATATACTTTCAATAATGTTTGTGTTAGTGGTTTAATGTAGCAGTGGCCAAGGAGAGACCATACACACAAACGTGTGTACACAACCATCCTGAAAGGCTTCTGAACTTAATGTTCTCACTGATGGATGTGACCTCATTCACTATGAGAAGAATGAGTTAATGGGAAGTATTTCAAGACTTACAAGAAAAATCAACCGCCGGGTGCATGATGTGCTCAATGTTATTATCGATGACAAACAATGTGGTAAAGAAAAAAGTGTACAGAAAGAGAAAAGGAGCAGCAACATTGATAAGAAGATAAAACACAGCAATAGAGAAACTTCGCTAATCTTCATTTACCTAAACTCTAACCTGAGAATTCTCATTAGGAAAATAAGAATATATCCATGCTTTGCAAAAATTAAAAATAAAGGTCACCCATTAAAGTACATGTTAAGGAAGTGTTTTATTTCATGCTCTATTCTTACAAACTAAAAAGTTTCAGTGATTTAACAATACTTCAAATATAGATTGCAGTAAATATATTTGATTTACCAGTTTTCTTTAATTATCGTAAATGTTTTTAAGTAATTTCTCATTAATGAAACTTTTAATCATTAGTACGAATTAATGCACATTTATTCTAACTGGGCAAAACCTAAAATAAATAAAAACAAGGTAAATGTTGGTATAGCCACAATACTGTACCTCGGTCGTCCTATTCACCATCATCTGAAGCAGTGTTGTATGGGAAGAAGAGGGAAGATATTACACAGTGAAAAAGGAAGGACACAGTCAATCTACTCATTGCCATTGGGTGCCCTATTCCAACATGCTAAACCCAGTCTTGTGGGAAAGGAGTCCTAAAACACTACACAATGTAATTTTGTCTTTCTAATTCTTTTACTATTATATATGACTACAAACAGAATAAAGAGGCAAATCATTCAATAGCTGAGCCTCACCCACTAAAGAAATCATTCTGTATGCTAACTGTACTGTTACTGTACCCAACAGACAGCCCCCTTCTTTCTGAAATACCTCTGCAAGAAGTAGGTCTCTTTCCATGACCGGAAGTGATTTTGCATTATCACCATGGCCTACTTCTTGATCATCCCCCAGGCAGCTAAGAGCTCCTCCCTCAAAGGCATTCAGCTCTTACCTTTGATTGGACGTCTGCGTTGTGATCATTCTGAAGCAGGAGCGCTGCAGATTTGGTGTCATCTTTCCGAGCTGCAATGTGCAGGGCTGGCAGCCTTACTTTGCCTTTGGTGTCATTCTCCAGGAGGATGGCCACTGCCTGGTTATGTCCTTGCTGGAGTGCCACAGCAAGAGGCGTGAAGCCATCCTGGACAGAAGAGAGAAGCATTTTCATTCACTCATGGGTGCTTGGGATTCAGCTCCAAGTAATGCAACCTCTACATTTTTTATTTTTAACTATTTTCTATTCTAAGTATATGTCTGCAATATATAATCATGGTGAATTACTAAATGCAAAGACTGCACCTTGATCATTGCTGCTTCCCCTTCCCTCTTTCATGTTCACCTCTCGCCTCTTTCTCAGATCCCCTTCCCATCTGCAAAATCCACTTCCCTGTTTCCTATCACCTCTCTTTCATTTTGCTCTTTAAATTATATACATATTTTTGGTTTCTCATATAAGATAAACCATGTAATATTTAGCCTTGTAAGCTCATTATTTATTTCATTTGGCATTATGGTCTCAAGATCTATCCATTTTCCTACAAGGGTCAAATCTCAAATTTATCCTTCTTTATGACTGAGTAGTACTCTGTTGTATATATAGATCATGTTTTCTTTATCCATTCATCTGAAGATAGTGGCTCTACATTTTAAAGTAATGATCAAGACTGATAAGCAAGAGGAACAAATGTGACTGTGAAGATCAGAAACAATTATAATCAGTCATTTGACAATCTATAGACTAGTTTAATCAGGATGCTTTATTAATTTCTATTTTATACATTTAAAATTTCTATTCTACACATTCTATACCTCATTCTAACAAAACATACTACATGTAGAATGAGATCATTCCCAAACAGGAGTGTAACAAAATGTATGTTTATTACTGGAAAATAGAAATGAGAGCACACCCTAAGTAATGCCTGTTGATGTAAAAGGCAAAAGTGGAAGGGTAGAAACAATGGAAGTCAGATCAGCTGGGAATCAAAACTATGGTAACCAACACAGAAAAATAAAATATGTGATCAACTATACAAGTTGCTTGATGTTTCTACATTGTTTAGGAAAAAACGGTAATCACTGTAAGTGGAATGGGCTGTTACCAGTTCAGTTTTGGATTTTTGGAACATAATACGACTAAAACTTTGGCAAATTAAGCAAATCATTAATTTTATACTTAGTTGAATTTTAAATTATTAAGATCATTTAGATACAAAATTTCATATGATTTATAATATTAAAAATCAACTTTTCGATTCCAAAAGGGAGAGCTAAATAAATGACATTGTAGAACAGTTAGACAGAATTTCATGGGTAAATAAATAACCACTTTAGAAAATTTGAAAAGCTATGTTTTCCCTTTAGAAACAAGTTTTTAGTTCCTAGAATGGTGGAAAGTAAGTAGAAAAAATATATATGTTCTAGGCTCTATTTGTGTAAAAATCTCTTTAATTTCCAAAACTTTGAAAACAAATCTACAACTTTCCATTCCTATAGAGAAGAGATGACAGCTATTGGATGTACCTCTAAAGGGAGCATTCTAGAGACAGGAGTAATTTTCTACAGCATACCTACTCAATTTATTTTCAACAATAATATTTAAATGGTAACTTCAGACTTTGGAGGGAAAACAATTTTTCTCAAGTGTATTGTATCATATACGCAGGCACAACTAGAGTAAGAATTTAATTTTTACTTTTTGATAAGATTTGAATTTTAAACACACCACATTACTTAACAGAGTGGAAGAGTAAAGCATGCAGTGTGTTCAGAAGAAAAATGCAAGCTTACCTTTGGAATCTTGCTTTCCATAAACTAAATGAGGAAAGCACTCATTATCATATACATATTTAATTCTACCCCTGAAACACTGCAGTAGTTCATATTAAAAGTGTGAACTTTATTTTTTTTTTCTTAAAGAAGTGTTTGCTCACAGAATAGGACCTCATTAAAAAGATTTTAGCCCTCAATTGTGGCAACATTCCGGAAGAAGAAAGAAAGTAGAGATCCATAAAAATAGTACCAGAAGGACTGACAACTCCCTTCAGAGAATTTAACCCTGGGTTTCCACTAGGTGTATTTCATTCTAATCTGCATTTTACGGGAGAAGGCAAAATATTTGGAACGATTTCTTCAAGTCCCTTAACTAAGCCTATGAAAAGGAAATCCATGTTAAAGGTCAGTACATAATTATCTGATTTTTAAACTAGTTATAATGTCTTGATTAATAAGTAACTTTTCACAATAGAGCTATTTTGATATACACCACAGAGTATCAAATTGCAAACAACCACATACCTCTATAATAAAGATATACGTGTGTATTACACAGAATGATACACTTAAAAGGGAATGTCCAAAGGTTTGTCTATGTGTGTGGATCTTGATAACAATTAGGATCAATGATTTGGCTTAAATGAATTAAGTTTATATACATCCAATCATGAAAAATCAATTTTGGTTACTTAACCAATTATTGAAATAAAACAAATAAGGTATACACATGTAGAAGCTTGGATTCAAAACTACACATAATTTATCTGCAAAAGTAGCATTTCTGTGTGGAAATCAGAGAAGGTTTTAAGTTTCTGCAGATCTCAGGGTAACATGGCCTCTACCTGTGCCATGTCAATGAAGGGAACCAGACTGAAATGCTGCAAAGGTGGCATGAGTTGAAAGGCTAGCAAAGGAGCCATGAGTTGGCTAAGAATGTCAGGGAGCTGAGTTTACCCAAACCATGCACTGGAGACATTAGTCTACTCACTGAAAAAAGAACTCGGGTGTAAAGGTCTCCCCTGGTAAATGATTCTGCTTTCAAGAAAGAGAATATAACAAATAGGATTTTCTTATTCTGGTGCATGTCTAGGAGATACAGTCTCTTCGTTGCCCAAGCACTGCCTGAAGTATTCACATGCTACTTATGTACAGAATTGGTATCTCAGGAAAGTAAAAAGGCCTCAAATCATAAAAATTACATGGCACTCATGTGGCAAGAGTGTGAAATCTGTGTATATTGAATAGATGAAATAATTTCATACCAGGCAACTGTGTTTTCCAGGTATAGCAGGAAATTAGAATTTTTTTCTTTAACTAATGAAAATTAGCTGTCAGAAAGTGATCACTATGAGTTCAATCAAAAGTCTTCTCCCCAAAATACTGGAAACAGCTGGATGTGGTGACACACACCTATAATCCCAGCACTCAGGAGGCGGAGACAGGAGGATCACCATGAGTTTGAGGCCCGCATGGGCGACAAAGTGAGTTCAGGGCCAGCTTGAACTACATAGCAAGACCCTGTCTCAGAAAATAAAAAAAAGACTGGAAACAGATTAATAGATTTTAATGATCCCTCCCTCCAATGCAGTGTAGAAGCATGTTCATGTTTATTTTTGTTAAGGATGTCATTGTTTGGAAAGCAAGCCACACTCACCATTAAAAATCACAAGCATTTATCAGTCATGTTTCACTCCTGCCCTGGAATTCTAAACTTTTGTCAATGGAGACATATATTATGGAGTAGAGAAAACAGCGACTACAAGCTCTGTTGCAAGGGGTGAGAAAGGGTTTCAACAGGGCTCCCTCTCACTCTGTTCTCTCCCAAATCACTCATTCCCAGCCTTCAAGTGGACTAAAAGCACTTGCTCCAAGCCCAATGGCTTCTGGAACATCACTTAAAAATCACTGCCTAAGCAAATCTTTGGATTTGCTCCTGAATCCACTTAAGCAAACATGAGACAGAAAATACAAAGCAAGTTGTGCTTATGAGGTGGACATGTGTAGGAAAGAACGTGATGTTGTGAGTTCCTGCTATCTCCAACCCCTTATGTCTAGATGTCCTGAACACTTTGAAACTGGACCGATGTTCAACATTTTATTCAGCTGTTGTCATAATCATGGTCACACACTGTGTTGTAATTTGTGCTTTAATGTGAACGGCATTTTTAGTGGCATATTCCTCGGGACATTATATCAATACTAATACGCATGCATTATTTCTGATGGCTAGAAATTATTATTTTAAGGAATTGTATTGGGTTGCAATGAGATAAAATATTGATTAAAAGAGATGGGTAGAGAGCCGGGGATTTGGCTCAGTGGTTTCACCGGCTGCTCCACAAGCGCAAGGACCCGAGTTCGATCCCAGGTACCAAAAAAAAAAAAAAAAAAAGAGATGGGTAGGAATTACTGCAGTCTAATTTTAGGCTGGTATAAAAATATCAAGAGCTATAGAGTATGCCAAATGACAGAAGCATGATTTCAAGTAAGAATAAATGGTGAGGAATCTAAAATGAAGGCATAAACTTCTTGAACTGCATACACAAGCCTGAGTCATTCATTTGTGAACACAGTTGTGGATTATAACAGTGATGTAAACCTTCCTAGTATACTTTAGACAAGATAATGGCGATCCTTGGCAACTGGTATTAAGAACATGGGCATTAAGATCAAATTACGGAGTCTCACCTCAGTAGCAGTGCTCTGATTAGCACCATTCTCCAGCAAATATTTTACAACATCGATGTGGTTCTCCTGGGCTGCCATGTATAAAGGAGTGAAGCCATTCTAAAGAGAAACAATACAAAAGATGACATCACCATCATCTGTAAAGTTTAAACCAGGGAAGAATACAAAACAAGGAAAGAGAACACTGTGAAGTAAACCTTTAAAATGGTGAAGCTGTATAACATGCTCCCATACATACATTTACATTATAATTCCAGGACACAGTGGACCAATCCCTACACACAAATCCTAAAGAAATGAAGAGAAAAGGATAGCAGAGGAATATTTCCCTCATATGGTGTTTTTATTTCAGTACCAGAATCACATTTCCCATCACTCAACACTGTCAAACTGAGATATTTAGTACCTTAATATCTATATAATTCTATAGTATAGAGTCCTCACTATATACAGTAACTATATAAAATGATATGTACATAATATCTTCTGTACTTATAAATTCATAAACTAAACAGATCACCAATTTTCTCAATATGCACAATGTAGTTATACTGTTCATGGTATAAATTACTACTCATACCAAAATAGACTAGGAAAGATTGTAAATTGGATTGAAAATGAAAAATGTGTATATTTCACTGTTCTGATTGTAGCATCATGGTTTGTACTGGACATTTTTATATTACTCTTTAAAGCTGTTGTGAAACTTGATTATTCATCTCACATTCACTCAATTATTTACTAAAATCCAGCCACCCACATCTGTGGTCTCCCAGGAAACAGTGATAACACAGACACACATGTCCTCAGAGAGCACATACTACAGCAATCCTTAGAAATACATAAACTCCAGTAAGAAAAGTACCACAAAAAATTTATATTTAAAGACAATATTAATAATTCATAAACTCTCAAAAGCTAGCAACTTTCTCAAAATCATGTCAGTCTTAAATATAGATAATTCCCTTAAATTTCCCATGTATTAATGAGAATAAGTAAAAACAAAGGCAAGTATTCAGAGATTTTTAAAAATTTAAAAGAAGAGAAAAATCATTTTTGGAGATACTTCATTGAAATATTCTAATGAGTAAGTGTGATTATACAAAATGACAAAGATAGAGCAAGATATAAACACAAGATATATACAAGTAGATCAAAGAAAGTAATTTTAAATTCGATTATAAAAGAAAACATTCAGGCTTCAAATAGTGGAAGAAAACTTAAAACCCGAAAAGAAATGTTATTTTAAGAGGAGTGAATTAAGAACACTGTAGGACTCAGGAATCACTTGCTAGCTGGATAGCATATTTTTAAAAACACAGCAAGCAGGTGAAATCTTGGGTATTTTAGGAACACTGAAGAGGTGGCGGAAGGATGGAATTAGAGATTCAAAGGAAGGGAAAGCCAGGGGAAGGTGATTAAAAACAATGAGTGGGTGTGGAATGGGGATCTTTCATGACAAGTAAAAAGGCAGGGATGCAATGAAAGAAAAAGAACTTTGAATAGAGTACCACAGTTTGCTAACATATTTCCTCTGGTAGACTCCTGCAGACAAACGGGGAGGACGGGAAACAGATAATGGCTGCCAGATCAACAGGGAAAAGATTGCTGTCCTTAGGGCTCTGCCTACAAAGGCCCTGGTCCTGGGTCTTGAGCTATGGAGGGACATCTTCTGGTTAAGCAGTGCAGAGAATCCTGCGGGTGAAGGGGATGTGCCTGCCGTGACCGCACAGCTCCATAACTTCCAAACCACACCCCAGGCACCAGGCTGTCCAGAATCCCCATTTTGATGTGTGGTCCTAGTGCTTGCTTAGACTTTTTCCTCATCAACTTCCCAAGTGTCCTTTGGTCAGGTGAATAATGGCTCTCAGATATATCTATGTCTAATCTCTGGAACCTATAAATCCTACCTTATACAACAAAAGGAGCCCTGTAGATGTGATTAAGTTAAAGATCCTGAGATGGGAGAGCATCCTAGACTATCCAAGTGGACTCAATGCAATCACAAGAGTCTTTAGAAGATGAAGTCAGAGAGGAGAGGAGATGTCCCTGTTGTCAGATGGTGTGGTGTTCAGTGGTTCCAGGCTCTTGTTCCATTTGAAGAACTTGTCAGGACAATCAATGAACCTGAAAGTTTAAATTTAAAGGTAAAAAGGAAAGGTAAAAGAAGAAGAAAAAGTGAAGATACGCCCTGCACACAGGAAGCACCAGTGCAAGAACAAGAGGGCAGTGGCAGCGAAGTCAATGGCTGCCATCTTTTACATCCTCTTTTTTTGGTACCGGGGATCGAACTCGGGACCTTGCGATTGCAAGGCTGGCAGCGGAACCACTGAGCTAAATCCCCCGCCCTTACATCTTCTTTGACATCAAATCCAGGCTGTCCCACGTAGAACTTCAAAGCTGCCCTGCGCATGCATCCTGCCATGATTTAAGAGCTATCTGTGATTGTCATACCTGCTGTCCAGCCTCTTTGCCAAGCTCTAATCTCCTGCCTCACTACTTCATCATTGGCCTTAAATATGATGGAAGGAGCCGTGATCTGAGAAAATGCAGTTCTAGAAGCTCTTCCAGCAAGGAAATTAGTTCTTCCCTGAAGGCCCCAGAAGGGAAAAGTAGTGGCAACAACTTAGTTATAACACTGTAAAACACATTTCCAAAACCGTGAGAGAATAAATTTGTGTTGTTTTAAGCCACTGAATTTGTAGCATTTGTTACAGCAGCAGTTGGAATCAAATACACAGGCCACCAGCAGTTTCCTATGGAAAGTAGAAGTAGGAAGTAAAGAGAACTTGAACAGGGTGGGGCTGGGTGACCACAACACCACATCTGATGCCCTTAAGGTGGAGGTGGAGCCAAGGATGGCCAGAGAAGATGGGCTGGCTGTGGGCCAGGGTCCCCAGGGTCCCTAGGTCCCCAGGAGCAGCTCTCCCCTTGCTACTGGCCTGGGTGGAGCTGCAGGGACCTGAGATGTCTAAATGTGGATCTGTCAGGTTGTTACAAAGATAAACTCATCAACGTAAGACATACTTATTTAACAGTGTGTCAGCTGGATCTGTAGCTTCTAGTCTTCAAAATATATAAGTGTTCCTCTTTTGCACTCTTTTCCTAGGACTTGAAAGTGTTTGAAATGGGTTAAAATGGTAGAGGAAAGGAAGATAAAGTGGTAGAGAAAAATATCAAGGCTTACAACATATATTACAAAAGAGCAAAGGGCAGCGAAAGGCAGACATTCAGAATCTTGGCTACAGCACATCATGAGCATCATTTGTGTTCCCTGTGCCATAACCTCCTATGCCAGCACTCACAGCAGAGGGAGGAGTAAATAGGAAGAGCAATAAAAATGTAAATGACCAAGCTTCTGCTGTGGAAATGCTTTGAATGCATCCCTTCAAATTAAAGTGACTGCACGCTCAGTTTGCGGTCACTTCACTCCCACGCTTACTTACATGCACTATCCCAGAGTGACGATTAGTAAGTAGTGTCTGGGTTTGGAGGACACACGATCTAGTTCTACCTCTAATGCTTAGAACAGTGTGGTCTTACTGGTTATCATTAGCCCCCCTCAAACTGAGGCAGCAGAGGCTCCAATGCTTAGGTTATATGGCCCAAGTCCTACAGCGAATAAGTGAACTGGGGCTGCCTGTTCAGGAATAACTTTCTTGTGATGGAAGTGAGACTTTCTCCTGCAGCCGAGAGGTCTTCAACTTGGCTAGGATGTAGAAAAGTTCATGCTGGTGATAAATCCCTTGGTCTGGGATCATAGGAGACAAGACTGGAACCAGAAGTTTCATCAGCTTTTGCAGTATGTCCAATAGAGTACATAAAAGACAAAGAAATAAAAAGACAAAGGAAACTTGAGCCAAGACAACATTTTGGTTATGAGATAGAGGAGCTGTTTACTGTTGTAAAACATGAGAAATATTCCTCAGCACATTCCTACAAGAATTAAAGTGAGCATACTATAGAAAGAGCAGCATGCCCATGTTTACTGCAGCACAATTCACAATAACTAAACTATAGAGACAGCACAGGTGCCTGTCAACTGATGAGTGGATAAAGAAAATGTGGTACATACCAACAATGGAAGATTATTCAGCTGTAAAGAAGACAAAAGTTATGCCATTTTTAGGAAAATGAGTGGAACTGTATAACATCACATTAAGTGAAATAAGGCAGACTTGGTTAGCCAAATATAACATTTTCTCTCATATGTGGAATAGATAGGACAGAGCATGGGGGAGGGAAGAAGGGAAGGAAGAGAGGTGACATAAAAGTAGAAGGGGTAAGGAAGATGGACGGAAGGGCAAGGGGGAAATGGAAATGATCCAAGTGAGTCACATGCATGGATAAATATGCCAAAATGAAAACCACTATTCTGTATAACTAATATGCATTAATAAAAAGTGAGTTAACTATTTCAAAATGTGGAATAAGGCAATAAAGATTCACTACAGATCCAAAAGATGTAGAAATTATCCTTTCTTAACCTACTGCCATTTAACAAGAAGTAGCCCACAGAAGAATGTGAAACACTCCTTAGGTAATTAGGACAGAGTGTGGACACTATTAACAGCATTGTAAGCTCTGTAGGAAAGCACTAACTTCACACACAAATGGCTTCACACCCAGTATATCACTCTGTGGACTTGCAGCAAGGTGCTTTCCAATGTTTCAGTCTCTATGTTCTTAAAACATAGTTTCATTGCACGTAGATAGAAAAGTATATGTAGTTTCTCTCTGTGATATAAAAAGTCAAACATACCCATAGCCCAGGTTGACATAGTTGGTGTGGGAAATGAAGATAACATTACCAGTTGTTAACAATCATTCTCTGCGACCAGTAGGTGCATTTAGCAATTAGTTATTATTTGAACACTTCCCCTACCTTTAGGAAATTATTATTGATTTGCCATTCATTTACATTTAGTCAACAAAAATGTGTTTTGTAACTTCTCCCTGTTGGGCACTGGGTACAGCTTTGGTGATCTAGGGACAAAAAATGAACTCTCTGCTGCTGAGAAACACAGCCCAGACCTGACACAAGCAAGACAGCAGACTCCTGGACCACAGTGCAGTGCACACATGGGTAACGAGTTTAC